CATGCAAAGGAGCACTCGCCTAAGCTACTCACTGTTGATCGGCTTGCTGATCAGCCAGTACAGCGCGAGCAGGCCGTACTGGAAGTTCTCATCGACGAAGGCGCGGCGCAGCCAGTTGACGCCGCGCGGCTTGCCGAGCGACTTGAGCACGACGATCGCGTACGAGAGCAGCGCGCCGACGTACACCATCCGGTAGGCGCGGACCGGCGTGCGGAACAGAAGCGTCTGGAGCATCACGTAGGCTGTGGGTTAGCTTTAGGTCACGCGGTTTTCAGCTGCGCAGGAGGGAGGTGGCTGGGGTGGTTGGGAGGCCCCTGGCTAGCTAGACTGGGCTCGACCAGCTGCGGACGATCGACCTCGGTGCTTAGGTGAGAGTCGCAAGACGGAGCATTTGCACGCCAGCACCGCAGCAAAAGCCCAGCCAGCCATCTACCATCCACCGTGCAGCTTTGCCGTCGCAGTTGCTGCCAGCCCCCGCCGAGGTCCTTCCATCCATCCGCTCCAACTGTTCCCACTTGCCGGACCTTGGAGCTCGTCGAGCCCACTCTGCCGATGCCAGCTTTCCATTGGCTCAGTAGCTACTCACCAGAGTTGACGAGGACGATGGCATGGCCAAATGCCCAGAGGTAGTGAGGGTCGACGATCATGGTGAGGATGTGAGCGAGGGTTGGTCGTCTGTACTTCTAGGCTTGTAGCTTGGAGTGTGGGTGGATGTGTGTGGTGTCGTGTAGTGATCGGCGCGTGCGGATAGCGGTGCGGTGATCGGTGGTCGGTTGTCACGCTGCGCTGTTCGCAATCAGTTCGAGAGCGAGTGCGGCGAGATTCCAAAGGAGGAGGTGGAAAGAGGGTAGTAGAGTGGATGTGTCCGCCTGTGTGGAGAAGACGGAGTGTAGAGTGTGGGTGGATGGATGGGATTAAAAGTCGAGTGACTGACAAAGGGGGAGAGGGAGGGATGATGAGATGATGATGAAAGTGGAGAGCGCGCAGCAGGCAGGCAGAGGGACAGAGGGGCTGACGATGCGAGCTAAGTGCCAGTGACGTAGGAAACGAGAGTGCCCTAATGATTTTCCATTTGCTTCCGCATACCGCATTAGTGGGACCTCGCCAGATACAGAGAGAGCTTCACCTGGCACCGTAGACGGAGGAGGCTACTTTCGGCAACGGAGCTGCCTCGCTGGGTGATGGCCAGCATGCCCCACGACTTCTTCGTGGCTATCGACATCCAGACTCGTAAGAACATCGGGACCGAGCACCATGCACAGACGCCATCGTCTCATTGACACGTAAACATGACACGTAGCAAGTGTCTCTAGGCTATGATACATACAACTCTGCTCTAACCTTCTGCGTGTGCTCCGTGTGCGTCGCTGGGTGACACCGAGTGACAGAAGCTGTCTCTGTGCTTCACCACAGGCGGGCTAAGCGCAACGAGCTTCGGGTCCTCAGACTGTGTCTTGCTGGACATCGGTCCAATGCTCGCAGCCTTCACAGGTGCTCTAGTCCGGCACCCTACGACACCTTACTGCCTCTTCTGCGCCGGACTCGGGCTCGGCGGCTCGCCATCCTGCATCAGATCCGAAATCGCTGTCTCGAGGTTATCGATACGAGCCGACATCTCCGTCACTGGGGTGTCAGCTCTTGTTTTGAGGAGTCGAGATAGCTGGCTTCTCCCGTTCGCCTCTGCCCTCCCTTCTCGCTTTCCTTAGCTCCTCGAAGCTTGCGAGTTGGGGGAGAATGACAGAAAGGTTTATGTATACTCACTCCGCGCCCTGTTGTCAGCTAAAGTCGCCTGAAGCACAGAGCTTTAGACTCACAGCACCTGCTCGCTCATGTCATCGAACCGCGTCTCGAGCGTGTTCAGTAACGTGTCGACCTGGCATTAGCTATACGCGAGGATGTTCATAGCTTGCAGGCGAGAACTCACGAAACCGCACAACTCGCCCGGCGTCGCGACATTCTTCGCGTTCAGCGTCGTCGAGCTCGTCTCGGCGCGCGTGTCGGGGGACAAGGCCAGGCCCGCCGTGCTCGGCGCGGAGCCGGTGTCGTCCTTCTTCGATCCTGTCGAGCCTGTCGTTCCTGTGGACGCTGAGAGGGTCTGCGGCTGTGAATCGGTCATTGCGATGAGGATATGTGCAGGAGAGGGAAGGAAGATGAGGGTGAAGAGCACGAGTGGAGGCCACGATTGTTGACACGACGGTGGCGATGTCACGTGATGCTCGAGAGCGGGTGGCAGATGAGCTGTGCGCGACGAACTGCCGAGTTGTACTGATCGCAGCGCGGAGATGGAGGGAGGTGGTGCAGCGCAGAGCAGGGGTTTTGCATGTTCTGAATGATACGTGAGACACGAAATGTACGCTGCACGCCGCTTGCACAGCGGCGCCGCTCCACTCCGCTTGCTCGAAACAAGGCAAGCTTTGACACCGCCATGTCCGCTGGCAGCCCCGCACTGCCTCGTGCGTGGCCGCCCTCGAAAAGCAATGAACCCCTGCGTCATGATATCCAGCACCTTGCACAGCCTACTGCAATGCTTCATAAGAACCCAAAGTTAAAGCCAATGCATAAACGCGTAGCCTTTGAAAGACCATCTATGGACTGGAATGTATGTTAAAACGAAGAAAGTGTAAAGCCCTAATGACGAAAAAAGGAGAGGAAAGGAGGAGGTCGGGAGGGTAGAAATATAGGAGCTGTTAGTATGTAGTAAGGGTGTATCGCGGCCGGGATATCGGATACGTGGTGTAGGGGGTAGTGTTCTATGTACGCCGGTGTCTGGGCGTCTATAATGTCCTCAAGATCGAGTTTAGATGAGCATGAGCAAGCTGGCGGCGACGGCGCCAACAGCAGCAAGGAGGCGGGGAGTGTTGGAACCGGCCGACGAGTTGGCAATGACCGTAGCCGTGTGCTCAGACACAACCGTCTTCGTCTCCGTCACCCTCGTAACAACACCGAGGTTGTTGACAGCCCCAGTGCTGGAGGAAACAGCGGGCGCGTTCGTAGTTCCCGTGATGAGGAACATACTAGACCCAAGCTCCTGGTTGGCCGTCATGATCGACCTCGTGCTAGTCGTGGCGGGAGCAGCCGAGGACTGGGTGTTTGTGCCCGACGTGGCCGTCGTCGTGTCGGCGGGCGAGGAAGAGGAGACACCCCGGGACGAGGAGGAGGGATACACGATGCGCGTCGTGTCCGCCGTCAAGCTCGAGGCGGTGCGCGTGCTCGTCTCCGCGGACGCGGTGACGATCGAGGTCACGTCGGTCGTCTGGGGGCCCGCGGTGGAGACGGCGCCAGAGGACGAGGGCGTCACGGCGATAGAACCCGAGCGCGACGGCGTGTCGGAGGGAACAGCGGAGCGCGACGTAGCCGAAGAGGGGAGGACGCCGCTGTCCGTGGCCGAGGTGACGGGAAGCTTGCCAGAATCGGAGGCAGAGCTGGTAGGACGGACATTCGAGGCGGAGTTCGAAGGCGTGTTCGACGCCGTGCCCGAGGGCGTGTTCGATGCCGTGCCCGAAGGCGAGTTCGAAGGAGTGTTCGAAGGCGTCTGGGCGGCCCAGGACGAGCTCGAGGGCTGGCCGGGGAGAATGTGCGAAGGGCGCTCGCTGGACGTAGGTCCAGCCGAGGGCTCGTCTGAGGGCACGCGCGAAGGCGTCTGAGACTGCGACCCCTCGTTCTGCGAGGAACCGGGCAGAGGTCGGCCAATCGACACCTGCGTCGTGGGCTCGTCCGAGGCCGTCGGAACGTCAGAGGTAGTCACGTCCGAGGTAGGCACGGGTCGCGCCGAGGACGGCGTGCCCTGCGACGTGGGGGTGGGGATAGGACGAGTGTCGCTCGTCTCCTCTCCAATCCACCAGGGCGTGTGCGACGAGGTCGACGAGGGCTGCTGTTGAGTGCTCTGCTCCTGCTGCGAAGTCACGGGCGCCTGAGATGTCTCGGAGGTAGGCTCGGGGCGTGTCGAAGTCCTCGTCCACGGCCACGGGAAGAGAGGCGTGCGGCTTGTGCTCGTCTCGGGCTCGGGCTGCGTGGTCGGCTCGGGCTGAGTCGACGTGCGCGTCCACGGCCACGGGAAGAGCGGGGTGCGGCTCGTGCTCGTCGTCTCCGGCTCCGGCTGGGTAGTGGGCTGAGGCTGGGTAGTCGGCTCCGGCTGGGTCGACGTGCGCGTCCAAGGCCACGGGAAGAGTGGAGTGCGGCTCGTGCTGGTAGTCTCGGGCTGGGGCTCGGAGGTCGGCTGAGGCTGCGTTGTCGGCTCGGGCTGAGAAGTTGGCTCAGGCTGAGTGGTCGGCTCGGGCTGCGTCGAAGTCCGGGTCCAAGGCCAAGGGAAGAGAGGCGTGCGGCTCGTGCTTGTGCTCGTCTGCACCTCCGAGGTGGGCTCTGGACGCAGGCTCGTCCGCGTCCAGGGCCAAGGGAAGAGCGGTCGGCGGCTGGAAGGAAGAGCGGTCGGCGGCTGGAAGAGGAAGAGGGCGCGGGAGGCGCCTCGGTAGACGACGGCTCGTTCCACGCCTGCTCCGTCGAAGACGAGGAAGGAGGAGGCTGCACCGTGGTAGAAGGGCGGGGCGGCTCCTGGCTCGAAGTAACCGGCTCCGGGATCAGGACGGACGTTGTGGGTTTCGG